CTTTATTATCCTTATTTCTTGTCTTTGGTAGTTGTATCTAGAAATGTGATTAGAAATTTTTGTGCAAGAATATTTTATATGCAAGGTATCCTATTCCATTGCATTGGGAGGCACATGGTATGTGGTTGGCTCCCTTTTAGTGAAGTTAAATCATTGGGCTCATATTTTGTGAGCCAGATCCAGACATAACTTTCCACCAGCCTTTCACCTCATAACTTTAGCAGCTGTGGATGATTGTTCCCTTGTCCCAACACTTCATTAGGAATTGTTATTGGTGACTTTCTCATTCTACTCATTATTTAACAGTCATTTGTTATATTTATTGCCTTCACTAACTATTTGGGTTCCCCAAAATATTGCAGAGTATATGTTTGATTATTTCCCCATCTCTAAAATAAAAAAGAGTTGTCTCCTTAAGTGACCCAAAAGTGAGCAAGGAGGAATTTTTAACATACCTTATGAATTCGTGGAGTTGTATGTATTTGATGTGTTTTAATTCATTATAGTCATTATTTATTTTGATGCTCGAGTTGTCACATTTTGGGGCAAAGGGTGCCTTTTTATCTTGATTCTTGAGTTCTTTTCCATGCGTCAGTAGAATTTGATCGCTATCTTGTTCAGTTTGTAAATTCAGTCCTGCTTCAGGACTGAATTTCTCAAGGAGTCCTGGTTCCTTTTAGAGGGTAATGATATTGAGATTATGAATCTGGATACTGAGGTGCTCATAATCACGGGTGCTGCCATTGCTTCTTGGCCTTTTCTGTGGCCAATTCAAAAGATATATGTATTTTGTACAAAGAGAAAAATTCATCATGAATGAATACTACATTTCAAATTAAAATATCAAGTTAAAGAGTTGAGAACTTACTTCATGAATACTTGTATCTCTTTTCTATTGAATAGAAATAAGATACTTACTTTTTATTTCATTTATACACGTTCATGTAAAAGATACATGATATATAGTATCTAAATTACAGCACCAATATTACTAGCAATACTATTACTAAATGTAGTTCATGTTGTAATTCTTTTTTGTCTTTAAACTAGGTCACACTAAGTATTATATACAGTCAAATTAATGAGTTTTAAAGTTAGTTTAAAAGCCCTGGTGTTGCACTGGTATTAAAGTTTTGGCTGCTAACTGAAACATCTCCCAATCTGCTGGAGAAAGATGAGTCAGTCAGCTTCTGTAAAGATTAAGTCTTGGAAACCCGACAGGGCATTTCTACTCTGTCCTTACAAGGTCACTATGAGTTGGAATCCATTTGACAGCAATTGGATCAGGTTTAAAGTCAGTTTCTTGTCTATGTGGTGATGTCAGTAACTTGAAATATTCTTACATTAATGAGTAGTTTTATATTTTTTGGAACAGCTTTGTTTTGTTTTAAATAATTAAGTAAAATGTTCACATGATTTCAAAGTAAAAACTGTAACAGTAGCATAGGCATGCTAGTTTTCATCCATATTTCCTTCACCCTATTCCTTCCTTCTAAGATATAACCATTCTTATCAGTTTCACATTGATATTTCCATTGCTTCTTTTTTAACAAGCAAACAGATAGATGCATTGTTATTTCTATTCCTCCTGTCTTTCTTACACAAAGGCTTCAACAATTTCATGGGAAAATTCCATTGTCTTTTAATTCCATTTTTGGATCAACTTTTTAAAGCTCCCTTCTATACATAGCCCCTGCCTCACTTCTCCTCCCCACCCCCCAATTAACAATACATCCTGGAGTCCTGCAGAGGTCCTCAGACACAGGCCTCATTCCTTTGTCCAGCTGCACAGAACTGCATTGTGTGCTTGTAATGTTGTTTATTCAGCCAGTCCTCTGCGGATGGATGAGTGGGCTCAACAAGCATTGATTGCATGACTAAATTGTGCCAGGCACTGGGGATACAGGCATGGTCTTTTGCCTCAGAAAACACAGTATAGAGTGAGGGGGAAGACCTCTACAATACAAGTACTTTCCACATAACCAAGTCAGCGCTTGGATCCACTTTGTACAAGGGGCATGTGGTGCTGGGAGGGGATTCTTGCACACAGGAGGGCTACAATAACTGTTTACTGTTTGGCATCTTGCTCTCACATCCCAATGAAAACTTTATATGGGAGAGTCCCCATGTGAGGAAAAGGTTTTTCTAGAGCTTGAAGTTGCTTAGAAAATCATGAGTGCCACCAATTGGTCAAAGAAGAGAAGACCAAAAAGATAGAAGGGTCCTACCCATAAATTACCCCTGGAAAGAGGAAATGTGTCACAGGAGAGCTGTGCTTTAACAAGAACTATTCTAGTATGTCACTGTAGGATAAACACACCACCTCATGATTGGTTTGAACCGCAAGGTTAGCAGTTCAAACTCACCACCTGCTCCTTAGGAACCCTATACAGGGCCGGTAAGAGCAGGAACCGACCCTACTTAACAACACCTATATACACTTTCCCAAGTGGGCCAGTCGTTGTTTACATATAATGAATTCCTTTATTTTCATAACAACTCTAGGAGTAGTGGCTATTTTTACTCACATTTTACCAATAAACTCAAGGCACATAGCAAAAAAATAAAGAAATGCATGAGAAACCTCGAAGGAAAGAAGGAAGAAGTTGCAGCTAAGATGATTGCAAATGGTATACCAAGAAGGACTCACTGGTTCCAAGAATGAGGATGAACTGTTGATACTCCCTCCCACTCACCAACTCACCAACACATGCACACTTTAAATACTCCAGGATTAGAAGACCTCTCAGCGTTTTCTCTGGACTCTTGGGGCACATCTTACACTTCACTTAGCACCTGCTTCCCTGGAGGCGACCAGCTGGATGATCAATCTAAACAGGTAGTGCATGTTTGTGCAGCAGCTGCGAGACCAAAGCTTCCCGGGATGAGGCCGGGCGCCCAGTGGTCTCTCTCTACTGAGCTACTGAGCCTTCCCTTGAGACCCTTCCCGGTATCAGATTCTCAGCTGCTTGCGCTCACATTCACTACAAGGAGGTTACTTTACTTGGGCTCCGACAACACCGTAAAAGTTACAAGAGTCGGGAACAAACCTTGACAGACCTCCGAGGAGCCGAAAGTGAACTGAACACAAATTTCACTTCCAGGTTACCTACAGCAAGGGGGGCACGCACCCGCAGCACGTGTGGGCAAGACTGGTTAGGAGAAAGGGCTCTTCCAGGGGCCTGGCTCCCCGTCTTATAAACACCCCACAGAAGACAGTTCCGTGGCACCCGCCGAGCCTGCAATATCTAGGCCCCGTCCCCTGCCCCAAGCTCCAGGGGCCTCCAGTTCATCCGGTTTCGCGATTATTCCAGGCGCCGCCTGGCGCCCAGACCTAGTATCGCGAGCGGCTGCTAGGGAGCACCTGGCGCTCGTGACGCTGGGCGGGACTGGAGCTGGACTCCGCCTTCCTGGCCACCCATCTTTCCAATTGCCTTCGCGAAATGCTGGGAGTCAGAGCAGAATAATTTGTTAACTCAGTTTAACACCGTTATCGTTGTGAGGTGCGCTCCATTTGACTCTGATTCAACAACCCTACGCATGCAACAGAAGCTGCACAGTCCAGTTCTGCACTCTCTTCACGTTTTTTTTTAATCGCTGTATTTGACCGATAAAAAGAAAAAAAGCTGGCGAAAGAAAGGTTAGGATTCAAACTCAGCAGCAGAGTCACCAAGGAAGGGAGATTTCCAATGGATTAGCTTGACAGGTGGGGCTGGCAAGAGAAACACACTCTAATATAATTAACAGAATAAAAAAACAACGCGCAAGGAAAACATTGGGAGTTTTCAAAAAGCACACCTCAGCTTTACATTAGGTAGGTTATCAAACTAACCCACGTTAAAATGACAATTTAGATGATAACTAGCTTTTGGCAATAGTATTTAGTAAATTGATCCTTCCAGCTCATTATCAGACGGGTAATGTGCCAGCGTCGTAACAAGGTTTAAGGGTGGCACATGTCACACAAGAGCGTGAAGACCCAATCATCACACTTCATGAACCGAAAAGGATCAAACGGGTGTTGTAAGGCTGTGGAGTACGGAATATGTGCTACTATCTTTCAATAAAGGGTGACAAATGTAGTTTACATCATTTCAGTATTGGCATATAAAATCTTGTACACTTAAAAATATCATCGATATCCCAAGATTTATATGTCTGTTTCTACTTTAATAAACGAAAACAAATAAAATTAGCGACCAAAATATTATCTATGTAAATATATTCACCATAGCTCCACCTTCTTTTCTTTTTCTGAACCTGAATTTCTATTGCTTTACGACCAAAGGTCGTGAATCAGAGAAAGCATTGCGGCAGCATTGGCGGAAGTCACTCTTGTGCTTTGCCGTAGCTAGATCCGGATCCCTGGGAAGAACTGGAGGTTAATTTCTTGTCGTGCTTCTGGAGTTTATTACTTAAACGATTTCATTTATTTTTGTTTGTTTGTTTGTGTTCCTTTGCGTTTTCAAGGAGGTCAGAATAATTTATCTACTTCACGGTCTGAGTCTCCGGTGGTGGTTGGTGGAACCCTGCCTGTATAGGTTTCCGGGAGCAGAATGCCTCATCTTTCTCCCGTTGAGTCTCTGTTACTCGAGAAACCCCTACTCCTTTGCCTTGTCCCTTTCCAAAACCAAACCCATTGCGTGGAGTCCTTTCGGCTAGAGTAGAACTGTCCCATAGGGTTTTGCTAGGGGAAGCTGATAGCCGCATCTTTGTCCCGTGGAGCTGGTGTGTTCTAACAGCCAACCTTTCGGGGAGCAGCCTAGGGTTTAATCATTCAATGCTCCACCAGTACCCTCCTTGCTTTTCACACGCTACTCTGATTCCACCTTTGCTCCTCTCCCTCCTCCAGGCCATCTCGGAGTTTTAAGTTTTAGACTGGGAGACTTGGAGAATCCAGGTGGTCTCACCGTTCCTCATTAGTGGGTCCTTCTCTATCGCCATTGTGGTCCTGAAGGGAAGTCCAGCTTCCCCCACCTCGCAACCCCATATCCCGAGGAATGGAACGTGACAGCATTCGAGAAAATCCGTCACCGGAGAACTCGTCCATGCCTGGAGGGCCATCGTCTGCCGCTCTCGGGCAGGCCTTCTCTCAGTTATTACACCGTTTTACCCGCCAGGAGACCCACTCGGGTCAAGGCAGAGATGCAATTTTTCAGGACCTCGGTGCTCTAATAGAAGCCACAGAATATGACAGATTATTTGAGGGGAATGACACATCAGTCCGTGGAATGTCTGAGCTGCTTGGAGAGGTGGCTAAAGCCCTGGGGAGGTATTCCACCCCACCTAAGGAAGAGGGAGGAAGAGGTGATGGCTATTCCGGGGTGGCTGAGAAAGCCACAGAAGTTGGATTACTATTTCTCAAGCTACTTGGGAAAGTTGAAACTGCCAAGAATTCCTTGGTCTACCCTGCATGGAAGACAGGCTTGCATCACTTGGCAGGACCCATTTATATTTTTGCTGTCACACACAGCGTGGAGCAACCGTGGACCAGTCCAAGATCTCAGCACGTTGCTGGAAAAGTACTTTCCTTACTTCTTCAAGTTTCTGACTGTGGCTCTGTGGCAGGATTCCTCCACGGAGAAAATGAAGACGACAAAGGAAGATTTGGTGTGATTATGGGGCTTCTCAAACCCAACTTGAATAAGTGAGTACTCTTGCCCAAAGGGCTACAACACTTGGGTCTCAGTTTTTAAATAAATGTTGGTGCTCAAAGGAACCTTAGTGTTTTTCATCAGTAATAAAAACTAGCCATCCAGTGGGTTTCAACAGGTGTGTCAGAGTAGAATTATGCTTCACAGGGGTTTCAGTGGTTTTTTGGTGGTGGTTCTTTTCAAAATAGATGACCAGATCTTTCTACCATCTGTAGTAGAAAGACCTTCAGTCTTTTAATTAGCAGCTGAATGCATTAACCCTTTGCATCACACAGCGACCTCAGTTAAAATAAGACACATGAAGATTGTTATTTGTTTAAAATGACATAACTGGATAGTAGCAAATTTGAGAGATCATCCAGGTGTCTACTTTTCAGTAGTCTTTCAAGTCCTGATATAGCTGTTCTGGATAAATTGGAAATTCTGTCCCACTTACTTGGAATTAAATTTCTTAAGTTGGGTGGGAGTTTGGAGAGAATTTAAATTTAGGTTTGATTTTATACTTAGGGATTTTGGAACTCATTGCTATTTATTGTAGGGATAGTTATTAGCTAGAAAAGCAATGCCGAAAAAGAAGAACCCTTGAGATTCTATTACCTAATGTGTCTTCTGTGAATTTACATTTTCTGTTTGGTATGTTAGTATTTGGGTCCTCGTATGGCACTGTGGGCTAATGAATCAGACTGCAAAGTCATTTGAACTGCAGGGTCGGTATTTCAAGCTCACCAGCTGCTCCTTGGAAACCCTATACAGGGTCGCTGTGCTCAGAATGGATGCTAGGACACTTAATAACAACAACAATGTTAATATTTGTAATCCTGGAGTGAAAAGAAACAAATGTGTTCATAACGTCATTTACCAGGAACTTGAAGTTAAAAGGCTTGATTGCGAGTCTCTTCGAAACCGAACCCATTGCATCTAATTGGTTCTGGCTCATAGTGACCCTATGGGACAGAGTAGAACTCCATAGGGCTTCTGAGGCTGGAAATGTTTATGGAAGCAGACGGCCTCATCTGTCTTCAATGGAGCCGTGGTGGGTTGAATTACTGACCTTTTGGTAGGCAGCCTGTATTGCATAACCCATAGCACCACCAGGATTCCTGTTTTGAGTCTAGTGCTTCTTGTTATTACTTCTGTATAGTACCAGGCCTGGACTGCCTTCCTGCATCTGTTTCATTATTTGTAATATTACCTGTCACACAGTCATTTTAAGATTACTTCTGTAATGTGTTAAACTCACTTTATAAGCTCACTTTTAAATTGTTAAAATAATAAATAATACATTCCTCACTCTCTTCTGAATATATCTTCTTTGTAACTACTTCTCATTGGATACGCTGCTTTAGAGCAAGAGTCCTGGATAATTGTTGTATGTATTTAGTGTAAGTTACATAAGCGTTTTTGATGTAAATCTTCTATGTTTGTTACACAAATGTGGGATATGTATTTTCAAGGTCAAGAAAATACTGTTTAGCATGAGTTGTTTCCTTTCCTTTGCTACTTAATCACTTACTGTGGTTTCATGTTTCCATTTAGGGAATTGTGGAAAAATAACCCTGCCACCAAACATGTTTTTTCATGGACTCTGCTACAGGTCACTCGACCCTGGCTGAACCAATATCTGGAAAGGATTCTTCCCCCATCATTGCTCATCTCAGATGACTATCAAACTGAGAATAAAATCTTGGGCATATGCTGTCTCCATCACATTGTGCTTAATGTGGTAAGAAACTTATGCTGTCGTCTGTGTTGATGAGGCATACTCAATAATTCACAGGTGCCCCTCATTCCTGGTAGCATGGTTTAATTGTTGCCACTTATATCTTTTATCTATATATTTTATTTTGTTGTTGTTGAGAATATGCATAGCAAAACATACACCAGTTCAGCAGTTTCTTCATGTATAATTTAGTGATATTGATTACATTCTTTGAGTCGTGCAACCATTTTCTGTGTACAAAGGGAGTGGGAGACAACATTCTAACCTCCTCTTTCTTCATAAGGAGGAAGGAGAATCACCATCATCATCAACCTAAGGCCAGTTCCTGTAAGGTAGAGACCCGACATGTCTTCACCCTGCAATCTTCTTTATCCTATTCTGATACCAACCATCTCTCTATGGCACTCTGCCCAGCTGGGTTTTATAATTCATTGCACTGTCCAAACAGAACTTACAGACCATACAATTACGGGGTTTATTAGGGAAGGTAACTATTTATACTGGAGGATTAGAAATATTCAAGATGTAATGCTTTGGTCAGGACAGTCTCTTCTCTTCTGTGTCCACAGGCTGGCGTCTCTCTGATACTTGGCCTGCTTGGGCAATGTTTTTTTCACACTTGGGCAATGTTTTTTTTTCACACTTGGGCAGTGTTTTTTTCACAAAGCTCTTTTCACACTGATAAATGCCTAAAGGGCACTCCTTTCCACTGTAAGCCTTAGCTTCCCAATTAAGAACCTGGAGGCACCTCACTCCCCAAGCAAGCTTCCTGCTCAGAGGCACTTAGCTTTACTTTTTCCATGGCCAGGAAGCCCACTGTACCACCTCATGCTTTTGCTCTTGCTTCTGCTGCTACCAACACTTCTGTGCTGTTTTTCTGGTGTCACAGCTTTTTGTCCTTAGATTGAAGAGGTGGAGTGTACAGGGATCCTGGTATCCAGAGGACACACTCCATGCTTGGCGGCCCTTCTTCCTTGGTAGTATTGAGGGTTCCCCCTTCTGCTGAGACTAGCTCATGTTGTATACAGCTGGATGGCACAATTGGCCCATTTCCTGGTTAAAAATTCCAAGTCACAGCTGTACCATCTAAGCCTTTCAATATCTACCTCAATTTCTCTTACCCAGACCCATCAGAAAAAAAAAAAAAAAAAAAAGATTATTTGGTGGGAGTTACAAAGAATCCTGGTGTGGCTCTGTTTGAACTTCAAGGTCAGAGGTTCAAACTCACCAGCTGCTCCTCAGAAATCCTGTACAGGGTCACCATGAGCCAGAACTGACTCGACAGCACTTACCAACAACAACAAAGACTATTGGTAAAAGAGACATACTAAATAATTCACTATACTGCATCCTCCTCTGAGTTGTTCATCCTCTGTTAACATGAATGCACTGCTTCTTTTTTTCATTTTTTACTGATTTTTTAAATGTTTTATTGTGAATTTATTCCCTCCATGCGTCATCAGCCAACCAAAGGGTATACCACCCTCCCGCCCCCTACCCTCCCACCTCCCTGGTCGTCAGCACACAGCCCCTCTCCCTCTCTGGGTCTAAAGTCCAGCCACTCCATCTCTCCAGGTCATCGTCTCTGCCTCCATCTCAGGCATCACTGCTTCTCTGGATAGGGCCCCGCTCTCCACTCTTCTCCCTTGATGGGTCCCAGGGACCTCCGCTTCTAGACTGAAAAGTTAATCACCCCCCTCCTTGCTACAAAACGTCTACCTTTACATTTCCAACACTCACAATCAGTCCTGATAACAATTATTCACTATTGTATCACAAGAGACCTATCTGCATTTCATTTCATCAGCCCCGCCTAGACACATTGGATACTACTCAATGGAGATTATACCTTCCTCTATGCCCTCTGGATCTAGGTTCCCTCCTGAAAAATTATAAGCCAATCACTTCTTGCCTTTATAGCCCCCCTATTTTGGTTAGCCAATGTCCCAGTTGCCCATCCCTGTCTACTTTGTGTATAGCTGCTGTTGCTGCTGTGTGCCATGGAGTCGGTTCCGACTCATAGTGACCCTGTACAGGGTTTCTGAGGCTGTAAATCTTTACAGGAACAGAAAGCCTCATCTTTCTCCTGCGGAACAGCTGGTAGTTTTGAACTGCTGACCTTGCGGTTTGCAGCCCAATTCGTAACCACTATGCTACCAGAGCTCCTTTTTTGTGTATAGAGGGGGTGGGAAATGCACTGCTTCTTAACCCTTCTCTTTAATCGTCCCATATTGTTGTTGTACAGGGTTTCCAAGGAGCAATTGGTGGGTTTCAACTTGCCATCCAGTGCTTATTCTGTTGTATCACACCAGGACTCTTTGATCCCATATAGATAGTTCTTAAAAGAGTATAATGCTCAATGTTGACTTTCTTTACCAATTAAGCTAAACTGTTGTTTCATATTAAGACTTCAGGGGATATTTTTGGTGTAAGGTTTAAACATTATTTCAAGGCAATAGTTTCAATGTTCTTCTGCTACCCTCCATGGGTTCAGAAAGTCCAGAGTCCATGAGAATTTAAAGTTTTGTTCTTCATTTCACCCACTTTGATCCAGATTCTTTTATGGAATGTTAGATCAAAATGTTCAGTAATGGTAGCCAGTACCGTCTAGTCCTTGATGCGCTCATTGTTTATGGAGGCAATTAGTTAGCTACACATTCCATATCCTCTTACTACTTTTTCTCCTTCTTCCTTTTTGCTCCAGGCAAACAGAGACCAGTTGTTTGTTGGACCTTGGATGGCTACTTGCAAGATTTTAAGACTTCAGGCATTATACAACAAAACTAGGAGGTAGAACAGAAGCTCTAAGCACAATTTTGGATTCTTGGTGTGGCACTGTAGGATCTGTACTGGACTGCAAATCATAAGGTCAGAGGTCCAAACCCACCAACCACTCCTCAGAAACCCTATACAGAATTGACTCAATGGCACATAACCACAAGCACACTATTGGGTCACTAACTAGGATGTCCCATGAAACACTGACCCCAAATTTCCAAATCAAGGAATCAAATCCCATGAGGTTATATATAAGCCATCTTAGATGCTATTTTTGATTTGTTTTGTTTTGTTTTGGTAGGGAGGGGTCATTGTTGTAAACATAACTTTTGCCACTTCCACTTTTTACACGTGTATAACATTGACAGCAATAGCAGTAATCAGCTGTGCAGCCCTGACCGTAATGCCGTTTTTCCATTGCTGTAAACTGAAACTCAGTACTCCATAAGCAATAATCCCCCTTTTCTCCCTCCCTCCCACTCTTGGTATAACCACTAGTAAAGTTTGGTTTCTATATATTTACCTTTTTTTATCCTTTTATATAAATGAGGTCATGTCATATTTATCGGTTTTTTAATTGACTTGTTTTATTCATGTCTTCAAGCTCCATCTCATACATTGTAACATGTATCAAAACGTCATTTCTTCTACTGGATGAGTTGTTAAGTGCCGATGAGTTGTTTCTAACTCATAGTGATCCTGTATAGGGTTTTTAAGGAGCGGCTAGAAGGTTTGAACTGCCAGCCTTTGGTTAGAGCCACACCAGGACTCCGCTGGATGAGTAGTACCATATTTGATTTATCCACCTATCTGTTGATGGGCATTTAGATTGTTTCTGCCTTTTGGTTTTGTGAACAGTGCTGCAGTGAACAAGTAGACAAGTCTACCTTTGAGTCTTTGCTTTCAAGTTTCTGTGGTACATACCTATACCTAGGGGTGGAATTGCTGGATAATATGGAAGTTCTGTTTTTAGTTTTTTGAGGAACTGCTGCACTGTTTTCTATAATGGCAATACGATTTTGCATTCTCACCAGAAGAAATTTCATCACAATTTAAGAAAACAGTTTTAATAATTTTTTTAGTTTGTTTTGTCATCGTAGCCGCTGCTGCTGCTTGTTGTTACTTCTCATCGAGTCACTACCAACTCACTGACCTTCTGCACAACAGAACGAAACAAAGTTTGGTCCTGTGCCAAGCTTACTGTCATTGCTACGCTAGAGTCCATTGCTGCTGTCACAGTGCCAGTCCACCTCGTTGGGGGTCTTCCTCTTTGTCAAGCATGATGTCCTTCTCCAGGGACTGGTCCCTCTGGATATTATGGATCTCTTCTAATCAGTTGGTCAGTTAACTGTCTTCCAGATTTCTTGGCATACATGACTGAGTTCCTCCAGTGTTGCCTCAGTTTGTTGGAAGATTTCAATTTGTATTCCATCAATTCCTGGAGCCCTGCTCTTTGCCAGTGCCTTCAGTGCACCTTGGACTTCTTCTTTCAGCATCATTAGCTGTTTATCATATCTCTTTCTTAAAATAATTTTTGGTACAATGACTCTGTATTCCTTCCATCTTTTTTAGATACTTTCTACATCACTCAATATTTTGCCTAAAGAATCTTTCAGTATTGCAAGTCAAGGCTTGGATTTTTGTTTTTTTCCAGTTTTTTCAGCTTAAGACATGCTGAGTGTGTTCTTTGATTTTGTTTTTCTAACTTCAGGTGTTTGCACATTTCATAAAAATATTTAACTTTGTCTTCTCAAGCTGCCCTTTGGAATTTTCTGTTTAGCTCTTTTACCTCCTCATTTCTTCTATTTGCATTAGCACCTCTATGCTGGAAAGGAGGTTTCAAGGTAGGTCTCTTCTGACATCCGTTTTCATCTCTTCTTTCTTTCTTGTCTTTTTAATGATCTTTTGCTTTCTTCCTGTATAATGTTCTTGATGTCATCCCACAACTCTCTGGTCTTCAGTTATCAGTGTCCAATTCATCAGATCTCTTCTTCAGATGATCTCTAAATCAGGTAGGGTATGATCAAGGTCGTATTTTAGCTCTCGTAAACTTGTTTTAATTTTCTTCAGCTTCAGCCTGAACTTGCATATGAGCAATTGATGGTCCGTTCCCACAGTCTACCTCTGGCCTTTTTTTGCAGATCGTATGGAACTTTTCACCATCTCTTTCCAGTATTGTAGTCAGTTTGATTTCTGTATATACTGTCTGGTGAGGTAAGGTCCATGTGTATTGTTATCTGTTATGTTGTTTAAAAAAGGTTTTGCAGTGAAGAAGTCATTGGTCTTGCAAAATTCTATCGTGTGATCTCTGGATCATTTTTGTCACCAAGACCATATTTTCCAACTACTGATCCTTCCTTTTTGTTTCCAACCTCTGCATTACAATCATCTGTAATTATCAATACATCTTGATTGCATGTGTGATCAATTTCAGACTGAAGAAGTTGGTAGAATTCAATTTTATCACCGCTGGCTTTTGTGGTTGGTGCATAAATTTGAATACTAGTGGTATTGATTGGTCTTCCTTGTAGGCATATGGATATTATCCTCTCACAGATAGCATTGTGCTTCAAATAGATCTTAGAATGCTCTTTTTGACGATGAATGTGGTGTCACTCCTTTTTAGTTTGTCATTCCTAGCATAGTAAACCATATGATTGTCAGAATCAGAATGGCTCATACCAGCCCATTTTAGCTCACTAATGCCTAGGATATCAATGTTTATGCATTCCATTTCATTTTTCACAGTTTCCAATTTTCCTAGATTCATAATTCATACAGTCAGCTGTTCCTCCTCATTTTGAGTTGTGTCCCTTAGCAAATGAAGATCCCTAAATCTTTACTCCATTCATGTCATCATGGTCAACTCTGCTTTGAGGAGGCAGCTCTTCTCCAGTCATATTTTAAGTGCCTTCCAACCTGAGGGGTTCGTCTTCCGGCACAATATCTGACAACATTTTGGTGCTCGTCATCACTTTTCAATATTCAATATTCTTGTGGTTTCTCACAGAGTTCCACTGCTATTCATAATGTTTCCAGTGACTAAATATTTGGAAGTAGTCCTTCTCTCCTTCTTCCTAGTCTTAGTGTGAAAGTTCAGTTGAAGCCTGTCCACCATGGGTGACCCTGATGCTATTTAAAATACCTGTGACATAGCTCCCAGTGTCACAGTAACATGCAAGTCACCTCAGTATGACAAACTGTTAGGCGAGTGGTGGATTAAAGCTGCTAAATAACCAAATTCACTTGTTCATATTTTCTCTCCTTCTACTTTCCTTCTGCTATCCTAGTAGTTATATGTCCTTGTTAATATAATAACTGTAAGGATAATTATAGAAGAAATAGGAAGCTATAGATCATTGGCAAGTTAAACATCCAGATCTTGAATAACTGCTGATTATTTCAATGAACAACAACAAAATCATAAAAGGATTGTACCAAAGTATGCAAGGAAACTTTTTTAAAAGTAGAGACCGTAGTATAATGAACCTCCATGTACCCATAATCTATTTTTTTAATTGCCAACATTTTGCCATCCTTGGGAAACTTTTTTTTTTTTAATTGGGTAATTTCTCTAATTGCAGCCAGCTGCTGACTTGCTCCAGTACAACAGGGCGGAGGTTCTATACCATGCCATTTTCAACCACCTGTACACACCAGAGCACCAGCTCATTCAGGTAAATGCCAAAAGTTCTTCACAACTGTAAGTTGAGCCTCTAACTTTAAGTTGAAGATGGAAATACATGACTGGGAATAGTTGGGAGCTATTTTCCTCTCTTGGAAAATATGGATAATAATGGAAAGCTGTTGCCAAGTTGAAAATATGTAGGTAGCAAATAACAGATGAAACGATTTCAACACCAAGCATATATCCACATTCCTGAGTCCCCACAGAAAAGCCAGTTCTTTTATTTTCCAATTTCGTTCAGTTATATGTCAGTTGAAGGCAAATTTGTGTCTGAAAAAGTTCTAATTTTTATTCATTGTTATTTCTCCTTTGTTGTTTAATATCACCATGTACACTGGAATCTACTTGTATGTTGGACATTTTAGTGTGTCATATGTTTATTCATCCAACAGACATTAATTTAGCTAACACTTATTTGTGTCGGGAACTATTGTACATCCTAAATGAGTCAGATGAAGTTTCTGGCTTAAAAAAATCCTGTGGAAAGGCATTTATATAAACATATCAATATTTATACATATATCTATAGCACAAAGTGATAAAATATATTAAAATAGCTGCTGACAAACTCCTTGCTGCCAGGTAGTCAATTCTGACTCATACCCTAGAGGATAGAGTAGACTTGCTCAGGGTGTCCACGACTGTAAATTTTTATGAGAACAGGCAATCTTAGCTTTCTCCTGAGGAGCAGCTGGTGACTTTGAATCACTGATTTACAGTTAGCAGCCCAGTGTGTAACCCACTGCACCGCTAAGAGGTCTGTATAAAATATAGGGATGTCTGGTTGTTTTAGGGAACTAACCAAGTTTGATGCTGTTGAAAGTGATTATAGAAAGCTTCAGAAAAGAAGCGATGCTTGCTAATATAGGATAACTTTTGTTTGTGAAGACTGAATTTCTTAGAGGTGGAATACTGTGATTCTCATTTTAGTACTTCACATTTAAGAAATATTATTTGGGGTATTGTGAATTCAGTTACCAGTAACCAAAAAGGCTGGGGCTCTTGAGATGGTTGAGAAAGGATATTTAAAATAATTAAGATTAAAATCAAATACCATAGTAGAACCTAGACACTGAAACTTTAAATGTTGCTGTAGAGTCAGTTCTGACCCATAGTGACCCTGTGTAGGGTTTGTGAGGAGCAGCTTGTTGAGCTTGAACCTCCAACCTTGCAGTTTAAACGACTTTGCATTCTAGCGCATTAACCCACAGCGCCACACCAAGACTCCTGAAACTTTAAATAATTTAAAGGGGTCAAATTTGATACAAATTAGCACATCTTTGATTCTATTTTAGAAATAGTTTAAATACATGTAAATATCACTAAACCTAAGACTCCTAAAACAAACTGCTTAAGTCAAATCCGCCTCATAGTTGGCCCAACAGGGCAGAGTATACAACTGCTCCACAGGGTTTCTGAGACTATAAACCTTTATGGGAGCAGACTGACACATTTTTCTCTGATGGAGAGTCTGAGAGGTTTGAACCTCCAGTCTTTCAGTTATCAACCAAGTGCTTAATCCACTGTGCCACCCGGACTCCTTAGACTCCTAAAACCTGGGTTAAAGTCTCAGCTCTGGGACTCTGGAGTCTGCCACTAGCTCATGTCACTTCTTCCTATTTTACAAATTAGCAAAGCACACTGCTAAGGGGAAGATATTAACTTATTTGAGACTACCATATGGATATAAAAAGTTTATAAAATATAAAGTAATATACATTTGATGTGCTATTTTTAGTATCTTTTATAATCCGATATGAACCCCAAAGAATAAATTATATTAAAGTTCCTAGAAAACTCAGTGAGGGTAGGAACACAAACTGGATAAACCATGTTTCCTTTCCTTCCCTTCCTCCCAGGCTGTGCTTCTGTGTCTGCTGGATTTATTTCCCATCCTGGAGAAAACTCTGCAGTGGAAGGGAGATACTGCTCGACCCACCACACACTGTGATGAGGTCCTGCAACTGATACTAACCCACATGGAGCCAGAGCACCGCCTTCTCTTACGCAGAAGTTATGCAAGAAACCTACCAGCTTTTGTGAAAAGGTGAAGCCCTGGGCTGCTGGTCAGAACATATCCCCTACTTCCAACTCTTTGGCATCATGTTTTGTTTGTTTTTTAATTGTGAATTCAGTGAAAGTTTACAGGGAAGATCATCAGTTTTACATTCAACAAATCACACACCTTGTTTAATTACAATGATTGTAATCCCCTCCATGTTCCATTGTTGTTGTTGTTGTTGTCAGGTGCCATCGAGTCGGAACCGACTCATAGCGACCCCATGCACAGCAGAACGAAACAATGCTCGATCCTGGGCCAACCTCACCACCGCTGCCACCCCCGAGTCCATCAATGATGCCACCGGGCCGATCCATCTCGTTGGAGGTCTTCCTCTTTTTCTCTGACCCTCCACCCTACCCAGCATGACATCCTTCTCCAACGATTGTTTCCTCCGGACTACATGTCCAAAGTAGGAGAGACGAAGCTTAGCCATCCTGGCCTCCAAGGAGCACTCTGTCTGCACTTCTTCCAAAACAGATCTATTGGTTCTTTTGGCAGTCCATGGCACCCTCAGTATTCTCCTCCAACACCACAACTCAAAGGCATCAATTCTTCTACGATCCTCTTTATTCACTGTCCAGCTTTCGCATCCATATGAGACTATTGAAAACACAATGGCCTGGGTCAGGCGCACCCTAGTCCTCAAGCTGACATCTCTGCTCTTCAATACTTAAAAAAGTTCCTGTGCAGCAGATTTGCCCAGTGCAATACGTCGTCTGATCTCTTGACTGCTACTTCTGTGAGTGTTGATAGTTGATCCAAGAAGAATGAAGTCCTTGACAACTTCAATCCTTTAACCATGTTCCATTAGTTAACAGTATTTCTCTCTATTCAGTTTAGCTTTTTTGTTGTTGTTGTTGTTAATACTCAGGCATATATAATAATTTACACCACCAAAGGGTACATTCTGCAAGTCTGCCTCCTGGCCACCAGCTCTTAGTCCCTCTTTTTCCATGAGTCTAGAGTCCTCATCTCTACCTCCATCCCTGGTGTTGCTGCTTCTCTGGATAGAGTCCCGCATTCCACTTGTGCTAGATGGTCCTAGGATCCTTTGTTTCTGGACTGTAACATTAACTACTCCCCCGTTTTTTATATGAAACTTCTACCTTTACAATTGTGACAGCCACAATTAGTCATAACTATTACTCACGGAAGCAGCAGTCAAGAGATCAAATGAATTATTGCATTAAGCAAATCTGCTGCACAAGGACTTTTTAAAGTGTTGAAGAGCAAAGATATCAGTTTGAGGACTAAGGTGCACCTGACCCAAGCCATGGTGTTTTCAATAACCTCATATGCATGCAAAAGCAGGACAGTGAATAAGGAAGACCGTAGAATTGATACCTTTGAGTTATGGTGTTGGAGGAGAATATTGAAAGTGCCATGGGCTGCCAAATGAACCAATAAGTCCGTTTTGGAAGAAGTGCAGCCAGAGTGCTCATTGGAGGCCAAGATGGCCAAACTTTGTCTCTCATACTTTGGACATACTGTCAGGAGGGAACAGTCGCTGGAGATGGGTGAAGGGTATCATGTTTTGTAAGGTGGAGGGTCAGAGAAGAGGAAGACCCGCAACGAGATGGATTGGCCAAGTGGCAACATCGATGGACTCAAACATGGCAATAGTGACGTTGGCCAGGATCGGGCAGTGTCTTGTTCTGCTGTGCATAAGGTTGCTATGGGTCAGTACCTACTCGATGGCACCTGACAACAATTATTCACTATTGAATCATAACAATCTTATCCCCATCTCTTTTAACCAGACCCATCTAGACAAGATGAAAACTATTCAATGGGGACTCTTTCTTGCCCCCCACATCTTAAACTCCCTTTTGAAACCTGTAAGCCAGTCACTTCATGACTTTATTGTCCCCCCCTTTAGGTAGCCAGTGTATAAGTTGCCTGTCCCTATCTACCCTGTACACAAGGGATAGCATTGATACTTGATGTGAAGACTCCTTCCCTCTCTGTCGGTATTTAGAGTTACTACCTCCATGAGTATAGGTCAGGTATCATGTTTTTTCATTCAATTTTAGGTTGGGGATTTTAACTGTTCGGCACTTGAAGAGGCTGGAACGAGTCATCATTGGTTATCTGGAGGTTTACGATGGACCAGAGGAAGAAGCTAGACTGAAGATATTGGAGACCCTAAAACTTCTTATCCAGCATTGTTGGCCCAGGTATAGTAGCCAAGAAGACAGGTGTGCAATCAAGGGCAAAATCTAGCTGGTGTCTGTTTAAAAGGTGACCAGCTGTACATGCAATACAAAGAAAGAATTAAGGACATGCTGCTATATATTTCAATTTTTTCCATCTTCACAAACCTGTAGGATTTTGAACTGAAACAATGCATTGAAAAGATAAATTCTGTAGTTACTTCAGGTGGCTGTAATTGGTCTGTCAGATACCAATTACAGATTTTGACACTTAAATCAATCCTCTTTTAAAATCAAGTGTATCCTAAGAATGGCTTATAACAGGTGTTCTAAGACCCACCGAGGTACTCTTTCATGTTCCACAGGAAAAAAAAAATGTTCTCTGGTCCTACAAGTTAAACATCTCTCTAAATTTATAATATATATTAGATTATTAAGAGACATTTAGAAGTGCTGCAAATGCCTAATGAAGTTCCATAAACCTAATTGAGAATGGAACACATTATAGCACATCATTTAACATCTGCAGAGCACTGACCAGAATACTAACTTATGATATACTTACTTAGCATCCCAACTCTGGGTTGCGGTAGGTGTCAGAAACAATAAACTTGAACCCAAACTGCTAGTCAGAAAGAAGCTGAACTAAAGTTTAATTCAGTTAGTAACCCAGCAATGTAGAAATCTATTCTTGACTACCTTATGCCACTTTATTGTAAATATAAAAAGAATGGAGACTATCCCCCACCCCCATGATAGCCTTTTCATTCATTAGTCACTGAATGTTCTATGCAATTCTCCTATATTGTTATTAATTCCATGTGACCAGGGTGTCCAGCTCATTAGCCTGCAGTACCACACCAGCTGTTAAGTGCCATCTATTTGGTTCAGATTCATTGCGCCCATGAACAGGTTTCTAAGGAGCAGCTGTTGGGATTAAACTACCTACCTTTGTGGTTAGCAGTCCACACCTGGGCTCCTAGACAGTACTTAACTTGTAATTTGACTGCATTTGTTTACCGTATTTTTCCCTACTCAACTGTGAGCTTCAGGAGGGTGGGAAACTCCCAGCATATAAGTACCCAAATATCTGAAGAATGGACAATAATAGAATGAAATTGACAAATGAGACAATCAAAATTCTTTATCATGTTTTATAAGAACAGAAAACAAGACTCTGCTAAGTAGAAAGGTGAACAACTGTAGGAAGGTTAGAATAAGTATGTCATGTGTATAGATGGAGGATCCCAGGTGGTACATTAGTTAAGCACTTGACTGCTAACTGAAAGGTCAGCAGTTTAAACCTACCAACTGCTCTGAGAAACATGTGGCAGTCTACTTCAATAAAGATTGTGGTTAAGTGCCGTCGAGTGAATTCTTACTGATAGCGACCCTGTATAGGGTTTCCAAGGAGCACCTAGTGAGTTTGAACCACGAACCTTGCAAATAAAACTGACCTTGAGGTCAAGTGCTTATCCTACAGTGCCACACCAGGCTTGGTATAGTGCTGTAGGATAATCACTGGACTGCTAATAGAAAGATCAATGGTCCAAATCCACCAGCCGCTCCTCAGAAACCCTGTACAGGGTCACTGTGAGTCAGAACTATTTGATGGCACATAAAAAACAACAAACATCTCTGCTGCAATCTCAACAATGGGTTTGCTATGAATGATGTAGGGTACAGGAACGTTTATCTGGGACAGATAAGAGTTGGAGGATTGAATAACATAAAAAACCAAGGAAACCATTGAATACTTTTTAGAAGGGATTAGTTTTTAGGATTAATACATAGAAGAGGTCTGGCTTAAGTGATGGATAAGCTAGCATCTGAAATTAAATGACAAAAAATTCTAATTGATACTTAAGTTCTAGAAGCCAAGCTTATTTCCTTCATTTTTTAATTTACTTTCTAGGCATATTGTTACACTGTTGAGTTGGTTTCAACTCATAGCAACACTTTATAGGGTTTCTGAGGAGCGGCAGATAGGTTTGAACTACTGATGTTGCAGATAGCAGTCCAGTGCTTCTGTACCACCACACCAGGACTCTTATATGGCCAGAGGTACAGGTCCTTGGTTAAGAACCTGGTTTTTTCAGCCTTTACTTATAGTACTTAAATGCAAGCTTCTGGATATTATACTTGGTAGGCAGTATGCTGTAGACAAAGTAGGAGTGTAGGGTTCTGCCCTACGTAGATCTGTGGTCTTTTAAGTCATTTATTGACTTCAATTCCAGTTATGAGGGCTTTGTACTATGTAGTCTTTGAAGACTCTTCCAGTTTTATTATCTTAAGGGTTAGACTCTCTTTCTTGATTCCAGAGTTTCCTGCAGACTTGTGGTGTTACTGAAAGCTCTCTTGAAACTGGTATGTGATGTAGCAAGGGATCCAAACCTTACACCTGAGCCTGTGAAGACCACCTTGTTACAGGAGGCCACAGATTGCCTGATTCTCTTGGACCACTGCTCACAGGGCCGGGTGAAGGTAAGGGAGAAAGAGTCCCTAACTGTTTCAGTTGGGCCTCATTATCCTTAGGTAATTCCTATGATTGATTACTATTTACATGCCTAAATTAGGAAACTAAGATGGAGGATTTCAGCTCTCCACTTCAGCCCTTAGCCTTCAATAATTAAACCAATACCTTATTCTTCCTTTAATACTAAACACTTTAGACCAAATGGCAAAAGACTCAACAAATGTTTCTGAGGTAAGGACAAAAGAAAATGGTGAGAAACAAGAAAATAGTTTTAATGTCATCTTATGAAATTTTTTTTTTTTTAAAAAGGACAAAAGGCCACCAAGGAGTAATAATATACGTTAATATACTGGATAGAATAATTCAATAGGATGGAACTTTTCCAATGTTCGAAATGTTTCCACTTTTTCTGGGGCCAGCCATCTCTTAGATAGATGCTTTTCTATAGTCTGTTTGCCACAGCATATGTTAACATGGATTTAATAAGACTTGCCTCAACTTACCACATTTAGAATTTGTCTATTATAAAGGCAGAATGAAAAGAAATTCATATTCTAAAAATATTTAGAATATCTCAGCTATTTAATCTTAGGCAATTTTCAAGCCCTAGATCCAGTTTACCCTGGCTGGTATAACTGCTTCTGCATGAGCTAGCAGGCCATTTGCAAGCACACCAGTACAAATCCTAAAGTAGCGCTTTCTGATCATTCTGTGAACTGGCCATCCCCCAGTGCCATCCACTCTTTCCTTAAGTATGGTACCAACAGTAAGGTGGAGGGAATGCAGAAGAGGGAAACATATTCAATTAAAAAACAAAACAAGAAATAAAGATCTGCTTTTTTTTTTTTTTTTCTTCCTTGTTTCAGGGTCTCCTGGCTAGAATTCCCCAAAGTTGTCAAGAAGGCAAGGTGGTGAACTGTATCAGAAAAGTGCAGCAAGCTTCTGGTGGCGCTCACAGTGATGGAACTTAAGATTTGTATTACTTACCCAAAGATGAAACTGTTTTCTTTTTGTCTCTGATTGTATAAATGGTGTTTTATGGGAAAAGTTATTTTTATACCAAACACTGTTACATCTTTTTATTTCCTTTTGCCCTGAGGGGAGTTGGAAAGAGGATGAGAAAGAAGTTAAGCCATCATTTCTAAATCAAAGTTTCTTGCAGGGGGATGAGGGCAGACACATACACACAAAGGAAACAAGGGTGGACTATATTTCAAATTTAGAAATATTTATATCATAATTCCATTCCATCCTCAAGAACTCATCTGTTAAGTTCTTGGGCCCAAGCTGTTACTACTACACATATGCCAAAAACACTACAAAAATACTCTGTTCATATTTTAAAGCTTTCTTCTTCCATTTCATTCCCAGATTTCTTGCCCCACAGAAGAGACATAAATATTGAATGTTAAATACAACATGAAAGAGCAAAAACTGGATGTGTGTGTTTAAGATGTAAAGAAAGAAGTAAAAATTGTCCAGTCCTGTTTATAAATGAGATCACGTGGTTTTGGCTTTGGCCATGGGCTCTGTCTCCTGTTCATACTCTATCTCTACATAGGCTCGTTTTCTCTGCCAAGGTCCTTTTTTCAAGGGTGTTTTGCCTTTATGTTTAGCATTCTGGTCCTTCTCCTCTTCCTCACTGGAAGATTCACCATCCTGATCTTCATCACTGCTGGCATCCAGTTTATCCATATCCTAGAGTGGGGAGAGAAAAAATAGGAGGGAAACAATGCTAGATTAGTTGCCAAAATTGCCTTCATTGTTCTCTCACAATTTATAACAATCTTGTCTCTGCATGTTCAGAAACCCTCCATTTTTGCTGCAGGCCAAAGGGTCTATTACCACAAAGCTTACCTCAAAGTCACTTATGTCACTCTCATCCACCTCATCATCTTCCACAAATTCTCTTTTCCCTGCATCCTAAAATAAAGCACAACTGTCAAGTTCAAAGTACATAATAAAGCACATCTAGGGTTTAGTCTCTGGTAAGTAAGTACATAATCAGAATCAGAGTCTACTTGCTATGTAATCAATATCTGTTATTATTGTTATCGTTAGGTGCCGCCAAGTTGGTTCTGGCTCATAGCAACCCTACACACAACAGGATGAAAAACATTGCCCAGTCCTGCACCATACACACAATTGTTTAAATTTGAGCCCATTGCTGCTGCCATGATGTCAGTCCATCTCGTTTGGGGTCTTCCTCTTTTCCACTGACCCTCCACTTTACCAAACATGATGTCCTTCAGGGACTGATCCCTCCTGATAATATGTTGAAGTATGAGGAGATGAAAGGCTCTTATACCATAACTTAAATGTGTCAATTCTGCTCAGGTTTTCCTTACTCATTGTCCAACTTTCACATGCATCTGAAGCAATGGGAAATATCATGGCATAGAGGAGGTGCACTTAGTCCTTAAACTTGTATCTTTGCCCTTGAACACTTTAAAAAGGTCTTTTGCAGCAGATATGTCCAAATCAATGCATTGCCTATCTGTTGACTGCTGCTTCCATGAATGTTGACAGTGGATCCAAGCAAAATGAAATTTCTGACAACTTTAATCTTTTCTCCATTTATTATGATGTTATTTATTGGCCCAGTTGTGAAGACTTTTGTTTTCTTTACACTGACATGCAATCCATAACAAAGTCTCTTATCTTCATCAGTATTTTAAGTCCTCTTCGCTTCCATCAAGCAAGATTGTATCAGCTGCATATCCAAAGTTGTTAATAAATCTTACTCCAACCCTGAAACCACATTTTTCTTCATATAAGCAATATCTATTGCTGTTAAGTACTGTCCAGTCGATTCAAACCCATAGCAACCTTGTATAGGGTTTCCAAGGAATGGCTAGTGAGTCTGAACCACTGACCTTGTAATTCAAGCTGATCTTGCAGCTGAGTGCTTATCCTACAGCACCATCTAATACTTCTGAATCAAGAAATTGAAAATATTTATCCAACGTTCTCAATTCAAATCATTACAGGTAAAACGTCTTTTTAAGTGACTAAATTCAGTATATACAAAGGGACTCAAAATCTTGGTATAGCCAACTAAAACTAGTAATTCAAATACCATAGAAATGTTTTACGTAGTCTGAGTGTACCGTATAATTTAATTAAATATCTACTTACTAAATTAGGTTTTTCCCTCAAAATACTATCTATTCAAATACTTCTCTTACTGAATAGTAAGATTAAATAAGATTAAACCCTGTATAAGTTTCAGTAAGTTCCTTCGTAGTATATACTTCATTAGTAGATAAGGATTTGTCCATTCCTGTCACGTGGCAGTAATAACTTTTTTATTGTTCTTGTTAAGTGCTGTCAAGTTAATTCCAACCTATAGTGCTACCCTATATAGGGTTTCCAAGGAGCAGCTAGTGAGCTTGAACCAATGACCTTGCAGTTCAAATGGCTTTGCAGTCTGGCACATTAACCCACAGCGCCACACCAAGACTCCAGGAATAACTGTATACACCAATAAATAAGATTAAAGTTATCAATGCAAATACAGTCCTGGTTGAGTCTGGAGAATAAAAAGCAGCCATTGCCAAACCAAAATTAGTCTGATGATAGAAAAACACGACCAAATAATTATTACTGGTTAGGGGAATTAAAGATGTTATTCCGTGCCTCAATTAGAAAAAAAGCAGGCTTAGTCCTGTCTAGGTTACTGCTTGACAAAACAAAAAACACACAAGGCTTACCTCATCATCATCATCTTCATCTTTTTCCTCAGCATCTGAAGAGTCACTCTCTGCCTCCTGCTGTTCTAAGGCCTTGTCGAAGGCATGAATGGGGAAGTTGTAGATGTCACCATACTGAAAAACAAACAGACTGGCTTTAATAAATTTGGATATTATACTTGAAGTTCCACTGTCTAATATATATATATTTTTTGCCTCTGTATTTAAATGAGAATACTTACTGACCAACATTTCTATATTATTTTTCAAAGTCAGCAATGGCCCATTTTAACACTTAAATTATCAGCGATTAAGATCTAACAGGTAACTTCTAAGATGATGGAACCAGATCACTTAAAATTTAGTCTGTAAAACCCATGAAATGCCATTTTACTGATATGGGAGACATAGAAAAAAGAATTCATGTGTCTGGAGATAATACAAATTTTTAAAAAGAATAGGATAATATGTAAGGGGAGCCAAACTATGGCTTTTATACAGAGCGCTGCACGTGATGCATTTAGGATCTGATGTTGGGAAGAATGGCAAAGAGGGAGAGGTCTCTTACACTGAAGAGAGAATACTGAGGGTGAATGGAGAGTACCAAGGGTGGCCAAAGCACTTTATGCACCAGTGGACTATAATGAGGAAGCCAAGGCCGTAATTATATTTATTTCAAGGATAAAATCAGAGTGGAGACCTTTCTAACATCTTTAGATTTCCAAATAGTTTCTAGCAAGGTATTAACACCTAAAAAATAAAATTTGTACCCCAAAGTTCTTAAATTTCTCACCGTGTCCTGTTTCAGTCTCTCCAGCAATTCTTTTTCAATGGCATTGTCCAGCTGGGCAGCTATTAATGCTTTTTCCTATTAAAAAAAAAAAAAAAAGGGAGAAGTTAATTTGCTTCATTAGTATTCATTTTTCAGCTTATCAAAGTGGTAAGAAACTATTACTTTTTGTATAAGAAACATGTAACCGTTTCTTTCCCCCATGATAAGCCATCTGCCACCTCAACCAAATAGATTTTTTCCACTTTATCAAACCTTGGGAACTTTTCTATTAAAAAATTCCTGTGGATTTGTAAAATGCAATTGAATGTCTCAAAAAATTAGCCTAGAAGCATGATTTTGTAAAAGCTGAGAAAATAGAAGAGGAACTTTTACCCATTTATGTTTTCTAGTGGTTGAGAGGTTGCTAACCTCAGAGTCAGCAGTTCAAAACTACCAGCCGTTCCACAGGAGAAAGATGAGGCATTCTGCTACTATAAAGATTTGCAGACTTGGAAACCCTGTGCAGGGTCACTATAAATTGGAACTAACTCCATGGCACACTACCATCAAAACCACATTAGATTTAATGTGACAAATAGGAGGAGAAAAAAACCTCTTCCTCTAAGGATCTCTCATAGAAAAAGAAAAAAAAAAAAAGCCTGGAGCCAACCTAAAGATAAAAACTGATCTCCAATTTCTTTTTGTCTAAGATTTTACATAATTTTATTGTGAAAGCCATAGAGTTTTTAAGGCACTGTACAGTGAACCCAGGTTAGGGTGATTAACTTACACTGTGTGGGAGAAACTGGAGGCACATGAATCAGTAAATAGATTATTGACATTTCACTTTTATTTATTTATTATTTTTTTTAAGATTCAGACCAAACTAATTGCTTGGTTAATTTTATTCTTTCCTTCAACTGTTAGATTAATTTTACCAACTGTGTTCTTCAAGTACAACTGGAATGCTGTATTTACACTTTAGAAGCTGAAATAGAAGGCAAAGACAATTTTGGGGTCAGAGATGGCATGTTTCTCATAGGGGTGATTTCGTGGGGTATTATGCATTCTGAAGGACAGTGAATGGCAAAGGATCCTCCAGGCTATTCCAGGACAAAAGCTAGATTGCTGCACACTTTGATAGACCTGAAAGTACCACCTGCTGCTGGGATTCACCTACATCAAAGGGCTCAGACACTGTTCTCCTTCTACCAGGCTTTTGTTTTAGGAGGAGGAAGGTGTGTGACTGGAGGCAACTCTACAGCTGTCGATGTAGATCAAGTGATGGGGTTTTCTCTGTTCTTCACTGAGCTGTACATGGGAACCATGAATCTGATTCTTCATTTTTAAAAATGGCTCCAGCCAGGTACATTAGTCCTGTCCTTCAGATGTCTCTCCTTATCCTTTCTGTTCTAACAGCGTTGGGCATGTTCCCATCACAATTTCTTCCATTATTTTTGGCTTTAAGATATCTTTGATCTGATGTGGAAGGGACACTTCATAGCAATACAGGGAACTGGTATCATACAGCATCATCCTCTTGAGTTACCAAGACTATGCAGTTCCAAAGCCGCAGTATCACCTCTTGGTAAGCAAGTGATACAGGCTCCATGTTTGCAGTGAAGCCCCCTGCCTCATCTTTGTGCTCAGGTGTTGGGTAGATCCAAATGAAGCCATTGTTACCCAGAATAACTGAGGCACCACATGGCGAGTCATGGAAGTGAGTCTTTTGCCGTTTTACTAGTAAGGGAGAAACTTGGACCAAAACACCCTGGCCTAGTTTTCCATCTTTGTGTGAAGAAAAACAGCTCCTTCAGAGAACACTACCTGGACCTCAGCACTATTAAGTTCCCTGTCCTGAAAGACACCTGTCATTGCAAGTTCAACTGCTGCAGATCTTCTCAGCTCTCCTCCGGGAAGGTTCATGGATAAGAGAAGGAAGACTGAATCCAGCCAGGTGTTGGTCTCCACCTTCCATCTCCTCTGTTGAACCTCTGTGATTCTTCCCACTACAATGTCTCCAACTTCACCATTATATCTGGTTTTCAAAGCTTTCATACAAATCAACTTTTTTACTCTTTTCACAGAGCCAGCCCCAGATGCTATGAGTTTCTCTTCCCCCATGTGGGTCCCATTACCCCACATGAAACCCGTGTCTGTAGTGATCAGGTCCCCTAGCACTAGCAAGTGTTTTTTGGTTTCGCGTCCCAGGTTCTCATTAACAGGCTTACAAGCGATGGGAGGCCTCATCTCCATCGCCATCTTGGCGCCAACTATTTGCACATCCATTTTTCATTGTTTTCGTAAGTGAGGCACTCACACTAAGGGTGATGCATTAAGGTATAGGAAAGAAAATACTCAAAACTTCTTAAAAATAAATGTTACACTATTTATCATGAAGACTTGGAGTCCTGACTCTGTCTATAAACCAAAAGTTGTGTCAGATATAGTGAGCAAGATATCCTGAGTGAAGGGCATGCTATTGTTTTGAAAATGGTGTCCATGCTCCCTTATTCTGAGTATTATAACAGCTGTTTATATTTGCTTGGTTAAGTGAAATTTATATATGATACTAAATAATTTGTGATAAAATTTGTAGTAGTTATATGGGTATGCTGGTTACCTAATGCCATAACGAGTTGCCGCTGGTTCCACCCTAACTCCTGGTGCCCCTACAGTCAGAACTGCAAGGCACAGGGTTTTCCGGGCTTACTTTTTAGACGTAGACCTCCAGGCCATTCTCCAAGGTACTTCTGGTTAGGCCCAAACTTCCAACTTTTCAAATGACATAGCACTTAGAAAAGTTGCAGAATTTAAAAGACAAGTCATGAATTTTTTCATAAAAAGAAAAATGTTCCATATTTGCCAACCTTTTCTGAAATGGCAAATAGCTGTTACCTTACCAGAAACTTTTAAAAAATAGCAATATATTCCTTTAAAAAAATGTAACATTTTAAGTGAATATGAATAAGAATACTTTCAAAAGTCGTTTGGATGTTATTACATCTATGTGATACTGTTAATGAAAACTGTGTCCTATAAAAACTACAATTACAAAGTTAATAATTTGGAAACAGACTTTTTCAGCTCATTTGAAAATCTTCCAAATCTAGATTTTTTTTCAGAGGGCTTAAAATGCATTTGCCAAAAACAGAACAATTTAATTTCTTCTGAAAGATTTGTAAGAATATCTGCTTGGTAATCAGGGAAGATTAAAAAAAAAAAAAAAAAAAAGAGTCACTGGCTAGATTTGAACCAAAACTTCTTCATTACTGGCAAAGGAGAATGAAGAGTAAGTACTGAATACAATGAACAAAGTACATTTCTATGCATCCTTGAGATAGCTATCAATTATTGATACCTAGTCCTTAAGAGATAAATTTACACTCAGCTACGAATCAGACCTTCATTTCACTACATCACAAACCATTATCATTTACAACATACATAATTCACGAAATTCTATATATAAAGTAACACTTCTATGTAGTATTCAGATTGGGGAGTGTATTTTAAAACTCTGCTGATAAATCTAATGGCAGAAAGTTTGTAGACCACTAATGCAATTGATTTGAAATAAAGAACTCTAAAGTGATAATGGGAATAAATCATCGAAATTATAACGCTAATTCTTGATAGACAACGACCGATCAGGCAAATATATGAAGCATAAATTTCACTCAGCTTGTATAAGCTATTAGTGCAATAAAACAGATCGCCACTGAATTGATCCCTACTTACACAGTCTACAGGACAGAGTAGAACTTTCCTGTAGGGTTTTTATGGCTGTATGTCTTTACAGAACCACATCTTTCTCCCATGGAATGAGTCACTGGTAGGTTCTACTTGCCAGCCTTTCAGTTACCAGTCAAGCTCTTAACCACTGCATTACCAGGGCTCATCAGTGAGATACTCAGGTATAACTGTCCAATAAGCAGAGTCTTGGACAAAAGTTGGAGATTCATGACCATAGGAAATTTTCTATGACTAGCACAAAGATTACCATCACTATTCCTTTCTAGTAACAAACCTTCTGTTAGCTTAAGCACCCCATTTTAATCCCCAGGGTAGGTTACAATGTAAGATAGTGAAAACCAGATGTCTTATACAGTTAACTCTGTTAACCACTATTATAGTTGTTGTCAAGACAGCTCAAGATTCATGGCAACTTGATGTATAACACAACACCTGATCTGAACAGTTTGCAGACAATGGCAAATTAATTTTTATCATGAGACCTGTCTGCAGAATCCTCCCTGAAATGAAAAGATGGAAATTAAGGATATTAGAATAAGTTACCTCTCTTCTTTTTTCCCTCCTCTCTACCTTCTTACTCAAAGGAACAAGTTTCTTCCTGTGGGAAACACAACACATTATCAGAAAACCCATGTACATGTACTAGGTGTTCTTTTTAAAAGGTAAGAAAAAAGGACTGGAATTGGAGGGCTCAGCTTCATATAACAAGATTATAGGATTTAAAATTCTATAGAAATTAATACTCAAAAAGCAAGATATTTCACATATATTTTAATGTACTTGCCTCTGTTTTCTTAAGGCATTCAAAGACTTCTAAGGTCATTTGCTATCCTGAAATTAATGCACCAGTGAACTGAGAGAAAGGCAGTTTCTGTAGAAGACTAAATCTTAGCATTCTCTGTAGATCCCAATATAGAAGTGGCAGGGTCTTGATGCAACTGGCATATCATAGTCCACAAACACAATATTCTATATCCTACTTTGGTGAGTAGCAACTGGGATCTTATAAAGTCATAAGCAGTCATCTAAGGTGCAACTTAACTGGTCTTCCCATGTGCAGAAGAAAAAAAAAAGAGTGATGAAAAGTGAAGATACTTGTAATCAAACAGTCCAACAAACTAATGGACCAGGGGAACGATCATCAGTATCCATACCAACTGTTCTAAAACTCCTGGACAGATCAGCAGACAATATAGACCAAAGCTAAAATGATAAAAACTAGGTTTAATGGTGAGAAAGAGACTGGAGAAACCTGAGACTATGGCCCTTGGCCACCCTTTAGGTCTAGAATGGAACTCACCCTTGTGGCCCAAGTGGTGGATAGGGATACAGGGATGGGACAACAAAACTAGGGAAGTATATGCTCATGGAATGGTCAACCATTCAAGATCAAAAGGGCAACATTTATGAGGGGACAGGGTTCAGATCAAAAGGGGCTGAAAAGGAGGGAGGAATAGAAATAGGAACCATAAGAAGTATGATAACTGGTAAAATCACTGAGATGGAACAAAGTGTGTAATTTATTCGATGTAAAACTGATCTGCTCTGCAAACCTTCACTCAATTCCCAATTAAAAAGTTTTATATTACTTTTTAAAATTAGTGTTGAATCAACCCAGAGTACATATCTTACATGTTTGTTCTTTCACATTTTAAAAGATAATTTTCACATCCTTAATACATTAGACTTCTGGTGTGGCACTGTGGGTCAATGTGCCAGACTGCAAAGTCGTTTGAACTGCAAGGTTGGTGCTCCAAGCTCACCCGCTGCTCCTTGCAAACCCTATACAGGGTCACAATGTGTCAGAACTGACTCGACAGCACTTAACAATAATACATTAGGAGTCCAGGTGTGGCGTTGCAAGGTAAGGACTGGATGGCTAACCACAAGGTTGCTGGTTGAAACCCATGAGCCACTCTTTGGAAACCCAACAGAGGATGGCTGTGAGTCAAAATGAATTTGACAGCACTTAAACAATAAACCAAATGTGAGGGGAGCCCTGGTGTGGTGCTACAGGATAAGCACTGGACTGCTAACTGCAAGGTTGGCAGTTCACACCTACCAGCTGCTCTTTGGAAACCCTACGTAGGGTTAGAGTCAGAACCGACTCAACAACACCTAACAATACATTAGAAGCCCTGGTGGCACTGTGGGTTAGGTGTCAGGGTACCAACTGCAAGGTCAGTAGATCAAACTCACAAGCTGCTTTGTGGGAGAAATGATGAGGCTGTTTACTCCCACGAAGATTTATAGTTCTGGAAACCCTACAGAATCACTATGAGTTGGAACCAACTGGATGGCAGTGGGCTTAATATACATTTCCTCAGGGGTTATAAAGAAAATTTCCTCGAGTTGTTTTTCAAGTTGTACTAAATTATTTTTAAAATCCTGAAAAACCAAAGGGTACTATTTTAACATGAGGTAATGTTTTTGTTAGCTGCTGTTGAGTTGGTCCCCAACTAATGACAATCTATGCATAATGGAAGAAAATGCTGCCGAGCTCTATGCCATACCCATATGTTGTAGATTGGACTGTTGTAATCCATAGGCTTTCATTGATGGATTTTTTTAGAAGGAGATCACCAGGCCTTTCTTCCTAGTTCATCTGCCTTAGAAACTCTACTCAAACCACTACTGACAGATGGGTAGTGGCTGAATATGAGGTATTGTTGTTAAGTGCCATAGAGTCAAAGTTTTGATTTATAGTGACCCTGTATAGGGTTCCCAAGGAACTGTAGTGGGTTTGAATCACTGACCTTGTGGTCCAGTGCTTTTCCTGAAGGTGTACTGGCTAGGAATCTAAACAGGTCTTGCACATCAAAGACGAATATGCTACCACTGAATTACCATGGCCTCGTTCTTTTTCTTAGCATGTTATAAATGACTAAACAAAACTGATTTTAAACGAAAGTATTATTAGTGATTTCACAAATTAGCTTCGTGCCGTACTTCATGGAAAAACAGACAGATGAAAAGTCAAGAAATAACATGAACCACCTTAGTACTTACTGCCGCTTTAGTGTAAGTTTTCGGATTCGAATTAGGTACTGGGTGATTTTGGTGAATCTCTGCTTACATTTGTGTCGAATAAAACGAGGCCAGTAAATGAGATTTTCATCTATTTGCTCCAGTGCTTTCTCATAGTTCTTACTGAGCCTGACCTGCCAAACATAAGAAAGGACACTGGAAGGGCAAGTTTTATTAAGTCTTTACTTCAGTGACACTTCATGATAGCTGCAAAATGTAATCTTGAGTATGAGTAAGAAAGAGAAAACAACATATGGAACTTTTACTCTTGATCATGGTTATTCTAATTTTATGTCCAAATCTTACCCGTTCCCAGAGACGCCTAGGAAAAGCTGCTCGTTCTATGACCTTCATATACAAGTAACACTGTCCTGCAGGAACAAGTAAATACCTTTAGTATTATTTGTAGAGACTAAAGCACAGTCTTGTAAAAGCTGGTACATAATTTTCAGGGAAGTTAAAACTAGGGAGTCACCTTTCTCTTCTTTGATAGTGGCATATTGACTGTTTGCCAGGGGGCAGGATGACCGATTACACAGGCCAGTCAGGCTGTACTCATTTCTGCAAAAGCCCTGAGTCTTAGTTCTAGAGTGGAAAAAAAGTAGCAAGGATTATCAAATGTATTCGTTACTAGACAACTAAAGGAATCTTTATCTGAACTGTAAATCTGGACTCACCTGATTTTGAAGGAACAAAATTGTTTGTTTCCTAGGGTATCCCATATAACCTACAAAGACAAAATCAAAACCCATTTCAATTGTTCTAAACCAACAGATGGCATATTAATTAAAAAAGATAATGCCTCAGGACAATATCTGCTTTACTGAATAAAGGACCCTTTGTAAAGCAATCTGAGGGGCTTTCTTTTCTTTACACAAGTAATAGATTCTTATAAAAAATTAAAAATACAAATTAACAATAACTATAACCCCTTTACCCAGTGAGTATAAGCATTCTGTGAATGTTTTTTCAGTTTTGTCTATACCTGTTTAATACTATTCCTACATATATGTTGAACAAAAACAAAATATCACACGTATTTTGAATCTTTTTTTTATTTAACCTATTCATTATACTTAAAAAAATTTTTTTTGAGAACATAATTTAATTCATAGTACTCAGTCACTTTTAGGCAGCAGAAAAGTAGGACAATTTAAAGTATAAGGTTGGGGAAAAAAATCTCAGTATATAAACCAATAGCTCCTGTTAATCTGGCTATACATACCATTCAGCATTTACTGTGCACTTAATTTACATACGGTACTAGCATCTTCAAGGAGCTTTGGTAGTATAGCAGTTACGAATCGGGCTGCTAATCTCATGGTCAGCAGTTTGCAACTACCAGCAGTTCCGCAGGAGAAGGATGAGGCTCTCTGCTCCTGTAAAGATTTATAGCCTCAGAAACCCTATTTAGGGTCATTATGAGTCGGAACCGATTCCGAGGCACATCACCACCACCACCACCAGCATCTTCAAGTCTTGACACACTAGGCACACAGTGAAGTATTTACTGAATGAAGATAAGTATAAGGGGGCGTCAAAACATTCATGGAAAATTTTCATTATCTTTTAATTTGCCCATGAACTTTTTAAAGCTGCCTTATATATTTCTTAAGGAGTTTTATCTATCTCACGGTGGTTTAATGCGATGGGTTGCAAGGTAGGTTTGAACCACAAGGCTGGCAGTTCAAGCTCATCAGCCACTCCTTGGAAACCCATACAGGGATACTATGAGTCAGAACCAACTCAACAACACTTGACAACCATATTAATACCTTAAAGCTTTGGTGTCGTGTTGTAGGATAAGTACTAGACCACAAGGTCGGTTTGAACTGCTAGGTCAGTGGTTCAAACGTACCAGCTGCTCCTCAGAAACCCTGTGAGTCGAAACCAACTGGATGGCACTAACAACAACAACAGTTAGGAAAAGAGGTAGAAGTAAGCAAAGAATCATAAAGTAGAAGCAAAAATGCTGCAATAGAGGCATATAAGAGTAGAAGAACTTTTGAGTAAGCTGAAAGACTTTAAAGCAGTAAGGGGGTAAAAGTGGAACACATTTTAGGAATTTTACAGGATGTGTTTGTAGGGGATAGTAGGAAATAGATAAGAAATGAAATTTAAAAAGTAGAAGTCAAACAATTAGAAGCATATATGCTAGGGAGGTAGTCCCTGGGTGGTAGACTTGGCTATCTGCTTCCCATTGAAAACCCTTGTGGAGCAGTTAACTGAAATTGCTTGCAATAATCACTCTCTATGCTCCAGAATGTCAAATCCAAAGGATGATTATCAGCACTAATTTTACTGTCTTCACTGAATTTGCAAAGGTTGTTTACCCTGTTTTCTGGGATTACACAGTTTTCTGTATTTTGTTCTGTCTGTTGTTTTAAGTGCTGTCTAACTCAGTTCCAACTAGCAGCAACCCTGTATAGGGTTTCCGAGGAGCAGCTGGTAAGCTTGAACCACCGACCTTGTGGTTCCAGTGATTATCCTACAGCGCCACACCAAGACTCCTTGTCCTACCTATTGGCTGTTATTTCCATGCTCCTTTGTTGGCTTCATCTCTTGCTTGAATTCTAAATGCTGGAATGTCTCAGGGTTTGAGCTGGGGATCTTTTCTGTCTGTTCATCCAGGGGGACTCATTCAGGCTAGTGGTTTTAAACATCATCATTAAACTGATGACTCCCAAATTGTCATCCCTGGATAGATTTATCTCCTGACACCAGGTTTATACATACACCCAGATGCCTACTTAACATCTCCACTTTGGTATCTAAAAGGTAACATAAACACTAACATGGCCAAATGGAGCTCTTAAGTGCACACCACTCAGAATACCCTACTCCTTTATTCCCTTTTCTTTATTCTACAAAGATTGACGTAAACCTATGGAGCAGCTCCACTCCCACCCACAGGTCACTCACTAGCTAAGAGTCAGAAACAACCTGATGCTGTCGGATTTTTAATTGTTGTCGCTTCTCTTTTGCAGCAAGAGAAATAATTATTACTAGAAACACTATGAGTCCTGGTGTGGTGCTGTAGGATAAGCCCTGAATTGGCAACCACAAGGTTGATGGTTCAAACTCACCAGCTGCTCCTTAGAAACCCTATCAGGGTCGCTTTGAGTAGGAACCAACGCCAAAACATTTAACAACAAACAAGAAAAGCTAAGTTGCTCTACATTTTAAAGGAATGGGATGGGGCAGAGAAGTTGACCAAAGTGTGGAAACATTTTATGGACTAGAGTTTAGCAGACTTTTTAGATATGTCTCATTCATGATCCTGAAGCAGCTGCAGGGTGCTTAGGAAACTGGGGCATTGAGAGAGGGTCTTCTGAAATATGCTAAGATAACAGACCCTTTAACGTTCTTCCAGTGATGTGATTAAGAAACAAAAACAAGCAACAGCTGCTCTCGAGTCAACGCTAACTAATGGTGACCCAGTATGTGTCAGAATAGAAATGTACTCCAAAGCGTTTTCTTTTTTGAAAAAAACCTTTACGAACGTTCTATTGAATCCAGCCATAGGGCTGTCAATGGCTGTAGGGGGTTTTTTGTTGTTGCTTTTTGTTTTTAAGAAGTAGATCACCAAGCCTTTCTTTCAAGCCACTTCAAGGTGGGCCAGAACCTCCAAGCTTTCGGATAGCAGCTAAGAGTGTTAGTTAGCTATCTGTACTATTCTGCAACTCCTCCCTATTCCATTTAAAACTAAACCCACTGCAGAAGACTTGATTCTAACCCAATCCTACTCATTCTTCAATCTTCACCATCTCAGTAAACAAAACCACCACTTAACTATTTGTTCAAATCCAAATTCAATGGATTCCTCCATTGTCTTCACTTACACCATCACCAAGTCTTATCTGCTATACTGATAAAACAGATCACAACTTCATCGATTTCATCTTGATGTGGCTCTGTGGGTTAAAGCACTGTAGTTTGAACCACAAGCTGGGCGGTTCAAGCTCACCAGCCATTCCTCAGTAACCCAGGTCACTCTGAGTCGGAACCAACTCAATGGCACTTAATAACAACAACATTAACAACTTGGAAACCTGGTATGGAGCTAAAGGATAAGCAATGGACCACAAGGTCGGTTTGAACTGCAAGGCAAGCAGTTCAAACTCACCAGCCACTTCTCAGAAACACTATACAGGGTTGCTAGGAGTCGAAACCGACTGGACAGCACTTAGCAATTAACACCTTAGTCAAAGATATCTTCCACCACACTCCATTTTTCTAGCTTTTTATCTTACTCCCTTTCAAAAATCCTTTACAAAGCATCTAGAGAAATTTTCACAAACAAGTCTGATTACTTCCGACATTGCTGTTAAGTGCCTTTGAGTGACTATGGACTCACAGCATCCCTGTATAGGGTTTCTGAGGAGCAGCTGGTGGGTCTGAACTGCTGACCTACTGGTTGGCAGTTCAATGCTTATCCTACAGCACCACACCCGGACTCCCGTTCCCTATTGAAACCCTAAAAAACACTTACTAAATGACTCATGGACTTGATTTGATACCTGTGCCCAATTTCATGGCCTATTATTCCTCTGCCCCTTGATTCCTATAACCTAGTTACACTGATGTCTTTTCCATTTCTTCAGATCTTAGTACTTTATTGTTCCTACTACATGGATTGCTTTTCCCTCGCTCCTTAGTGGCTGCTTCAGTCTCAACTTTTAGAGCACAGCTCAAATGTCACCTGTTCAGAGAACTCTTCTTTGACTAGTCTTACCTGAAGTGGTCTCTCTCCAAGACAATCTACTTCATCTTTCACAGTAGTCATTACACAGTGCAATGACTAATCTGTTAATCCGTATATTATCTGTCCCCCATCACCTCCAAACACCCAAAACGCTCCAGGAAGAAGACAGGTGGCTTGACACTTGCAATCTCTAGAGACTGCCACAACGCCTGGCACATTCTATGCATTTACTAAGTAGTTCTTCAACAACTAAATGAGTGAATTTAGAACGCTCTTAAACTTAGGTAGAGTGGAGCAAATACAGAGCAAAATATGACAAACCTAATACAGGAAAAACAGACTGAAAAGGAACATGTGTACGGGATATCGAGATCCTTAAACTTAGGCCTTAAACCTCAGCCAAAATCTCTCCTATCCCTTGTTTCAAAATAGTCTGGAGAGGCTGGCTATACAGCATGTACTCAGTCTTTGTTAGGCACCTCGGACTGACCACGTTGTCCCTGTAGACTGAGGAGCGGCCTGGAGTCCCTAGTAGACACTAACAGCGCCACATTCGAAAATGGGGATTCCGGAAACCTGCCCGGAGCCACATAAGACATAATGGGCCAGTTAAGTGTGCAGTTTCTGAGTATCCTAAAGCGGACGAAGCACCCTGCATAAGCCCTGGGAGGCAAAAGAACAGGAGGAGACTTACATCATCTGACTGCATGGTGTCGGTATCTCAGCGTGGTCAGTTGCGAGTAATAGCAGACATGCTTCTTCCGAAGACTCATATCCGGAAACTACTAGTCTCACCTATCGCGAGAGAATCTGAGACTCGCGAAGGCTCACAGCGCCCTCTGTCGGCTGAACTTTTGTGCGTGCCTCCACGTTCCGGTCCCTATTCCTTCGGTCAGTGCGTGCTCTGCGTTTGCTCAGAGATTGCCTGCGAAAGTAAACCGAGCTGAAAAGTCCGCACTGATCCGCACTGAAGGACGTAACACCCAATCGGCTGTCTACGTCATTTTCCGACTTGCGGTTTCAGATTCGGGGAGTACTGGCTACCTAGGCCGCCCTCCCTTCCCCTTCTTTGCGTGGTGATGAATTAGGGAAAGGTGCGGACCGGCGCCTACTGAGCCGAGTAAGGAACCTCTGGCTGTACCTTCTCGTGAGGCAGCTCGGGGCTACATTGTTTTTACTCCTTCACTAAGTCTGTTGTTGTTTTTAGGTGCCATCAAGTCTGTTCCGACTCATAGCAATTATGTGCACAACAGAACGAAACACAGCTGGTCCTGAGCCATCCTCAAAATTACTGCTGCCCTTGAATCCAGTGTTGCTGCCATTGTACCAATCCATCTCATTGGGGGTCTCTTTACCAAGCATCATATCCTTTTCTAGGGACTTGGACCCTCCTGATAATATGTCCTATGTGAGACTAAGTCTGGTCATCTTGGCTTCTAAGGAACACTCTGATTGTACTTCTTGCAACACAGATTTGTTTATTCTTCTGGCGGTCCATGGTACCATAAATATTCTTCAACACCATAACTCAAATGCATCAGTTCTTCAGTGATCTTCCTTATTCATTGTCCAACTTTCACATGCATATGAGACTATTGAAAATACCATGGCTTGGGTCAGGCGCACCTTAGCCATCAAACTGGCATCTTTTGTTCTTGAACACTTTACAGAGGTCTTATACAGAAGATTTGCTTAATGCAATACGTGGTTTGATTTCTTGACTGCTGCTTCCAGGAGGGTCAGTGGTGAAATCTGTGACAACTTCAATCTTTTCTCAATTTATCATGATACTATTTTTTAGTCCTGTGGTGTAGATTTTTGTTTTCTTCACATTGAGAGCCAATCAAACAAGCTTGTGTTTGCTAACTCTATGGAGCAGCAAAGTTGGTGAGGTAGGTATGGCACTTTTTTAACCAAAACACTCTGTCCCTGGCTAACACCTCCTTTACTTATTCCCACAGACATTGCTGTTTGGTGCTCCAGTGGGTCCCGATCTTTAAAATTCAATTGCCAGATAACCTTTCAAAAACGAAGAACTAAAAATTCCTTTCTGCTTTTCTCATGTTTGCTATGGAAAAAGAAAACCTTTACTGCTTCACATCATTTTATAACAGAAAGGACATTTTAATAACAAAAGTGTAAGAATAGGGATGAATCCTTAGGTTTACTACCACTGAGTTATGAAATAATGTACTACATATGTTTGTAGTTGTTAAGTGTTGTCGAGTCAATTCCAACTCATAGAAACTCTATATAGGGTTTCTGAGCAGCGGCTAGTAGATTTGAACCACCGACCTTGCAATATTTATCCTACAGTGACATATCAAAAAATATAGGTATTTTAAATTAGCTGCAAATAAGTGAAAACTAAGAATCAGAACCATTCTGCTGGGAAGCAGGGATTTATCATTCACTTTTTGAGCTATACTTGGGTTATAAAAAACAATGGTTATTCACTAAGATCATACTTCCAACGTATTGTCGGGAGGCATCAATCCCTGGAGAAGAACATTATGCTTGGGAAAGTGGAGGGTCAGTGAAAAAGAGGGAGACCCCCAACAAGATGGATTGACACAGTGGCAGCAATGGACTAAAGCGTAACAACAATTGTGAAGGTGTAGGATCCAACAGTTGGAATACATCCAAATCAAATTGACTACATCTGTGGAAAGAGACAATGTAAATGCTCTATATCATCAGTCAAAACAAGGCCAGGGGCAGACTGTGGAACAGATCATCAATTGCTCATGTGCAAATTCAAACCGAAGATGAAGAAAATGAAAACAAGTCCATGAGAGCCAAAATATGACCTTGAATATATTCCACATGAATTTAGGGATCATCTGAAGAACAGATTTGATACATTAAACATTTAAGACCAAGACCAGAAGAGTTGTGGGATGACATTAAGAACATCATACAGGAGAAAGCAAAAAGTCATTAAGAAGGCAAAAAAAAAAAAAAAAAAGGAAAAGATCAAAATGGATGTCAGAAGAGACACTGAAACTTGCTCTCCAGCATAGAGATGATAAAGCAAATGGAAGAAATGAGGTACAAGAGCTCAACAGAAAATTTCAAAGGTCAGCTCTAGAAGATAAAGTCAAATATTACAATAAAATGTGCAAAGATCTGGAGTCAGAAAACTAAAAAGGAAGAACACACTCAGCATTTCTCAAGCTGGGGAAACTGAAGAAAAAATTCAAGCTTCGACTTTAGTTATTGAAAGATTCTCTGGGCAAATTATTGAATGATGCAGGAAGCATCAAGATAAGATGGAAGGAATACACAGAGTCACTGTACCAAGAGGAAATCATTGATGTTTAACCATTTCAAGAATTAGCATGTGATCAAGAGCCAATGATACTTAGGTAGGAAGTCCAAGGTGCATTGAAGGAATTGGCAAAGAACTAGGCATCAGGAATTGCTAGAATAAAAATTGAAATCTTTCAAGAAAGTGAGGCGGCACAGGAGGCACTCACTCATCTCTGCCAAGAAATTTGGAGGACAACTATCTGGCTGACTGATTGGAAGAGATCCATATTTGTGCCCATTCCAAAGAGAAATGACCCAACAGAATGTGGAAATCATCGGACATTATCTTTGCTATCACATACAAGTAAAGTTTTACTAAAGGTAATACGGAAACGGCTACAAGCATACTTTGGCAGAGAACTTCCAGAGGTTCAAGCTGGATTCAGAAGAGGCCGTGGAACGAGAAATATCATTGCTGATGTCCAATGGATCTTGGCTGAAAGCAGAGAATATCAGAAATGTTTACTTGTGCTTTATTAACTATGCAAAGGCTTTTAATTGTGTGGATGATGACAATCTATGGACAACATTGCAAAGTATGAGTATTCAGGAACATTTAATTGTGCTCATGAGGAATCTGTACCTGGCCCAAGAGGCAGTTGTTCAAAAAGAATATGGGAACACTGAATGGTTTACAATGAAGAAAGGTGTGCAACAAGGTTGTATTCTTTTACCATACTTATTCAACCTGTATGCTAAGCAAATAATCTGAGAAGCTGGGTTCTATGAAGAAAAACATGGTATCAGGATTGGAGGAAGACTCATTAACAACCTGCGATATGCAAATGATACAACCTTGCTTGCTGAAAGTGAAGAGGACTTAAAACATTTTCTGATGAAGATCAAAGAGCACAGCCTTTGGTATGGATTGCATCTCAATGTCAAGAAAACAAAACTCTTCACCACTGGACCAATAAATGACATTCTTATCAATGGAGAAAAGATTGAAGTTGTCAAGGACTTCATTCTTCTTGGATCAAGTATCAACACTCATGGACGCAGCAGTCAAGAAATCAAATGATATATTGCATTAGGCAAATCTGCTAAACAAGACCTTTTTAAAGTGTTGAACAACAAAGATGTCAGCTTGAGGACTAAGGTGCACCTGACCCAAGCCATGGTATGTTCAATAACCTCATATGCATATGAAAGCTGGACAAAGAAAAAGAAGACCATAGAAGAATTGATGCTTTTGAGTTTGGTGTTAGGAGAATATTGAGAGTGCCATGGGCTGCCAAAAGAACCAATAGATCCAATTTTGAAGAAGTGCAGCCAGAGTGCCCTTTGAAGACCAAGATGGCCAAACTTCGTTTCTCATACTTCGGACACATTGTCAGGAGGGACTAGTTTCTGGAGAAGGATATCGTGTTTGGTAAGGTGGAGGGTCAGAGAAAAAGAGGCAGACCCCCAACGAGATGGATTGGCCAAGTGGCAGCATTGATGGACTCAAGCATGGCACCAGTAGTGAGGTTGGCCCAGGATCCGGCAGTGTTTCCTTCTGCTGTGCATAATGTCGCTATGAGTTGGTGCCAACTTGATGGCACCTAACAACAACAACATGACCCAGAAATCTCACTCCAAGTTTAATAGACATGCATACATATGTGCCTCAACAGACATGCAGCATAAATATATTCATAACAGCATTATTTGTAATAACAAAAAAACTGGTAGCAACTCATGTGTCCATCAACAGACAATAAATTATTACTTATTCAGAAAATGAAATATTCAATATCAGTGAAAAAGAAAAAGCTGTGGGTATGTACAATAATATAGATGACCCTAATAAACATATAATATTGAGTAAAAGATGCCAGACACAAAGAACATGTTGTAGCTGTTTATTGTTGCTGTTGTTAGTGTTGTCTGGACCCTGTTTAGGGTTTTTATTCATAGGTTTGAACCACCGACTTTGCAGTTAGTTGTTCCAATCAGTCAGCCAGATAATTGTCTTCCAAATATCTTGGCAAAGATGAGTGAGTGCCTCCTGTGCCGCCTCACTTTCTTGAAAGATTTCAATTTTTATTCCATCAATTCGTGGTGCCTTGTTCTTTGCCAATTCCTTCAATGCACCTTGGACTTCTTATCTAAGTATCATTGGCTCTTGATGATAGGCTACCTCTTGAAATGGCTGAACATTAACCATTTCCTTTTGGTAAAGTGACTCTGTGTATTCCTTCCATCTTATCTTGATGCTTCCTGCATCATTCAATAATTTGCCCAGAGAATCTTTCAATAACTAAAGTCGAGGCTTGAATTTTTTCTTCAGTTCCCCCAGCTTGAGAAATGCTGAGTGTGGTCTTCCATTTTGGTTTTCTGATTCCAGCTCTTTGCACATTTTGTTGTAATACTTGGCTTTATCTTCTCGATCTGGGTCATAGAGCCTACCAAAACCTACTGTCACTGAGTTAGTT